CTTCGGGTCCGGGCCAGGCTGTCTGTCACTCGCTCGACTGCCCTTTGACAGTTGTTTGCCAGCTATTGGAATTTCAATGAGCCATCTCAGGGCCCTCCATCCAGCTCACATTGTCATGCTCTAATTCGCATAACTTTTATTGGCAGCCCGTGTGTCTGCATTTGCATATATCTCACAGTTTCGCCTTAGCAACTTACTCGGAGTCCTTTTTCTGGTTCTCGGGTATCTCGGCCTCATAGCCGGGCATATAGAACTGCGGCGCTCGCTTGCCGCCCACGATCGAGAGTCGCTCCTCGGGCGTGCTCTGGAATCGCCGATCGTCGACCTTGCCATTCTGATCCTCGGCCTTCACGTACAGCACGTACTCCATGTCCAGCTGGAAGAGATCTGTGCCCCGTGTGCGCACCACGCCCGATCGTTCGTCCACCTCGAAGCGTCCGCCGGTGCGATCGCGCACTATAAAGTAATGTATGTTGTGATCCGTATCCGGATCGCGTGCCTGCAGCGTAAAGACTGGCGTATTGGGCGGTGCATTTAGCTGCACTACCGCCTGCATGGGCAGTGGCCGATTGATGAAATAGGGCGGCTCGTCATTGACATCCTTCACCAGTATTATCACACGCTGGTTGTCCGTGTACTTGATGCCAGCTGCCAACGAAAGACGGAGAAAACAAGAGAGAACGAAATTTTAGTATTTTTTGGACCACTTTTTGTTGTTGTTTGTTTTTCTTTTGTGTTGTTTGTCTATTGGTGCAGGAGCACTTTTGCATATGCATGTGTGTGCATACTTTTCGCTCGCACTAAAAGTTTACTTTGCCTGTGCTGGGGCTGTGCTGCCATTGTTATTACAACTAATGGATAGTTGGTTTAGTTACGGAGAAAATGGAATCGAGAGAAAGGCAGTAGGCGAGTGCGAGGAGGGAGGGAGGGGGAAAGGGGTGTGGCATGAAATGGGGGCCAGCCTTTTGTCGTCGGCGCGTGTAATTTAAGGCGCTCGAATTTCACTTAAGCCAAATGCAAATGCAATGAGCCGGAAAATCAGTCCAAGGCGCAATGTTGCCAACTGCAAATTGCAATTGTTGTGCCTCAAAGCTAATTATTTGTCAAG